GTGTGTGTGTGTGTGTGTGTGTGTGTGTGTGTGTGTGTGTGTGTGTGATGTATTCAAGCTGCGCTTGTGAGCCTGCAGATGTTACAACATGCAGCTTTCACACAGGGAATGACACAAACCAGCTTTAAAACTCTTTATTACAATAAGAAAGACCCATGTAAGAATGTAACAGCCAGGGGCGATACTAGAATCTGACTTTAATGGGTGCTTAGTCCCCCAGTGCTGACACCAGCTATACATGCACAAAATTCTTTGACAGGACTGAAATGTATTTGGATTAAATAATCCAAATGTATCGTTTATATTGGCACAATCTGTTCACGATGAGCATTTACTTGCAGAGAGCTTTTATTCTGAATAGAAGTACTGACATGTGCAGAGTGGTAAAAAAACCCACTGAAGAACAAGTTCTACTTCCGTGATGAACATAAACAAACCTGTGCGCCCAAAATGGACCCGCAACAGATTTTAATGACGGTGGAGATGTTACTGCACTCCCTGGGGCAGCTGTGACTGAGTGGTTAGAGCAATCCTCCTCCAGTGGGAGAGTTGGGGGTTTGACTCCAACAGCCATCATGTGCCAAAGTGTCCCTGGGCAAGACACTGAACCCCTCATTGCCTTTGATGTGTGTCCCATTGGTGTATGAATGTGATCAAGCTTTGATTAGTCTCTTTAGAATGATTTGTTCAATTAGCTTTGTAGAGATCTAGTAGAGTGCTGTATAAATGGGTAAATGAGACACAGATTGCAGTGGAAAGCGCTTTGAGTATCTTGATAAGATAAAAATGTGCTATGTAAGTACAGTCCATTTGTCTAATTGAGCTACAAGTAATACAGATAATTTTAAGCTCTTTCAAAGTTTCTAGTAGAAATGTATCGCTCACCGACCAGTTTTGTTTCCTCGACATATTAGCATCTAGCCAGGCGGAAATACATGAGGTGGACATAGATCGCACATGGGTGATTCTATAATTGGAGATACATTTGGCCTTTTGAAAAATGAAAGAAAAAAAATGTTAATTTCGGGGGGGGGGGTGTTCAGGTATTTTATTGAAAATATGTTAAACTTTGATAATTTGCTCTTTGCCAAACATTAGCTACATATTATTTTTACTTTTTATTAGGAAAAACTTGTTGGATACTGTCCAATATGTCAACTCTGTTATGGACAACATAGACGGTGTTTTGGAAAAACAATATATTCTAACAGGCTAAATTCTCTTTATTTTATTACATAAACTGTCCTAATATAATTTTAAAAATACATTTAAAATATGACAAAAAATACTTAACTATTTACAGAATTGTTTTTGTAGGAGCAAACTTTTATTAATACAACTCATTAAATACCAACAATTATTGAAAAAACTAATTATGCATATAATACTAAAATACAGGTAAAGTCAACCAACAATGTGTAGAATATTAAAAACAACATTTTTCTCTTTTTTTTGTAAAAACTATTAATAAACATAGTTGGCCATCGAAGTAACAGAGTTGACCTTAGTAACAGAATTGACAGGACAATAACAATTTCTTAACATTTCTTTGGAGTTGGATTTAGTTTAAAAAAAAAACATTTACTCGTGAAATAAATCTTTTCAAATTCAGGTAAG